TGGGCCCCCGTTTTCGTGATGCCTCCGCTGCCCATGCGAGGGTGGGTTACGGCTGGTGTGCCCAGCCGACATCTCTCCTCCTTGCTCGCAGAGTCTGCAAGCCCTGCAGCGTGGGTGGCTTCCAATTCTGCTCTGGGACTTCGAGGACCTGCTCGATGCCCGGTTTGTCAGGGACGTCTCCACGTGCTCAGGGACCAGCTTGCAGCCTGCCCGTGGGATGTCTTCCCAGTGGCGCAGCACGGTCAGGGCCAGGTGTTCATCCGTCTGCTTCTTCTGACCTGTGCGGGCAAAAGGAGGGCTGAGCTGGGAGAAGTGGGCAGAGAGACACCAGGGACAGCAAACAACCCTCTTCCTCTACCCCTGCTCCCAGGGAGCAGAACCTCCTCCTAGCTGCTCCTCTCCATTTCCTCGCGTACACTTTGTCCTTCAGCCAACGCCTCCTAACAACTCCTCTCTTTCTTCAACCCCAGTAGTTTAGAGGAGGTCCAGATCCCCTGCCAGTCTGCATTTTCCCAGGCTGAACAAGCTCCGTATCCATCGACGACGTTCTCCTCTTCTGCACCCCTCCTGGCCTGCCTCCCTCTTTCTCGAGCACACGTGGGTGCGCTGGGACACCACCGTTGTTTAGGGATGCAGTTACATGGAGAATGGCTTCCTAAACCCTGGAAAGGCCAGGGTGGGCTGTCTTCATTGCTCCTTGGGCATACACTTCCAGAAGGAAGTTTTCAAAGGCAACTTTGGGGATGCTCTACCACAGATGCCCATGAGTGATCCTGAGCAACGCACCAGCCTGGGTGGTCTATGTCTAACTGGTCACATACTGGAAGGTCCATTTAAGGTGGTGGATGGAGAGTGATTGCAGTGCTGCTACTGATTGGGGCCACTACCTCTGCCTCCTACCCTGGATGACGAGGGGACACCCCAGACCCCTTCTCCCCTCCACAACCTTCATCCCATGGGACAGGTACCATTTTCATCCTCAATCTCCGTGGGGCCGGTGAAGACCCTGTTGGCAACTTTCACTCTTCCTCCTGGCCCAAAGTGCGGCCCATCCACCTTGCCCTCTTTGCACAGCTTGGACAGGATTTGGGAGGGCTTCATGGGGTCACGCCAGGTATTATAACCATGTCTGTGAATAGGAGGGCAAGGTCAGTGAAGTAGTAGCAAGATTTGGAGGAAAAAGAGATTTTATTCCCCTCTGCCAGCAGAACAAATGCTACTTCCATGAAGGACCCAGGATTTACAGGGGAAGGATTTTTGAGGCATAAAGCGTGAACCTTCAGAGCAGATTAGGTCCCCCTGTGCCCCCACTCTACACTTCGCTAACACCCTTCCACCCCATCCCCTTTACTCTACGCTCAGACCTGAAATTCCCGGCACACCCCGCTTGACTCCTGATGCTCGGAATTGCTCCTTTGGCCCTGCTGCTATTCCAGCTCTGGTCTCATCCCTCTGCCCAGACCCACCAGTGCCCCTCAGTCCCTTCCTCCCTACCCTGGGCTCCTTACAACCCACGCCGGTGCTGCCCTGCGGTGCTGGTCACAAAACCTGTCCTAAGAGTGAGGGTAGAGCACAGACTCCTCCATTAGCAGGCACCAAATGAAGGAGATTCCTGCAGGAGATCTAGGCTTGGTGTGGAAGATGAGACAGGCATGGGTCCAGGCAGAAGGCTGGGCAGAGAAAGCTTTGCTCGTACATGGAGTAAGTCTGTGACACCCCACAAGTAGCTCGGTGCTTGCTGTAGTAGCGGTTCTCCAGATCAATCTTGGTCTCTCCGATGAGGTCGTCGGTCCCCACCAAATCCCAGTCGTACACCGACACCGTCAGCATCGACTCCATGGGGAAGGTGGCCTCGATGTCAAAGGATCTAGGTGAGGGGAAAGAGAGAAGCTGTTGAAGGGTTTGGCTGCCACTCAAGACAGACACGTGGGCGAGGTGGGTCTGCTCCGGTCTGCGGGCAGTGATTAATTGGCAGCTACCACCGCAGGACGGTCAAGGTAGGGGTTTTAAGTAAATCTCAGCACGGGCTATTTCAGATCCAGCAGCCCTAGAGAAGAGGTGGCACAAGGTGATTGCTTGACCTGGATGTCTGAAGAGCCCTGAAACTAAGTTTGTGTGTCCTTGGAGATCCAGGCCATCCTCTCATTCAAGTTCAGGCCTAACGATTCCTAAAGTAGGTACTTAATCTTGGCCAGATATGGGTGTCTCAAACACCCCTCACTATGCTGACCATAGGGCTGGCAAAGGGGGACAGAAGGCTGAAATGAGGATGTCTACACGGCTTGCAAGGGAAGTTCTGTGTGATGAGTCTCATCTTTGGAGCTCAAGCAGCAGATGTAGGACAGTTAGGGTGCAGGTCCAAGGGCTGGCAAGCTTGGCCCAGGCTTAGCCCACCACTTCCAGGTGCAGACAGGTAAGAGGGCTGGGCAACTCACTTTCCGAAGACAGGGTTCAACTGCTTGGAGATGTAGTTCTCCTTGTCTTTGATGTCCGTCTTCCCCAGCTTGATGGCAATATAAGGGTCAGCTTTCCCATTGATGTCAGCTGGGTGAAGGTCTGTGGCCTGTAGAGAACAGATGAGATCTATCAGTGCCGTCCACAGCAGCAAAGAACTCCGGGATGGCCCCATTCTCCATCCCTGGGACCATCTGGCCTTGCCTGGCTGTAGGCATGCGGCTAAGCACTTTGGTTCCCCTAAACAGTGTCTTGGTTTAAATTGGGGATAAATCCTGCCTCGTGTTAATCCCTGTCCCGGTTTGGGGAGGGGTTGGGGCTGGCTGTTTCCCCTCAGAGAGCCGTAACCACAGTCTCCTTTGGCATCTCTTTCATCAGTGGAAAGAAATAGGCTCCTCTAAAGAAATACCCAGAGCAAGAACCTGACCAAGATGTCAAGAAGACTGTCCCCTTCCCCTCTCGTTCTCTCCACTCACTACATTCAGACCAAGGGCTTCTGGCTTCTCCCCATAAAGGCGGTGAGTATCCCCAAACTCTCCAGTCTCAGCCTCCCTCATGGCACACAACAACAGATGCCCATGGCTAGGACACATTCAGCTAGTCCTGGGTGCTGTTGGGTCCTGGTTGCTGTTGGTGCTGACCAGGCTGGTGTCCACTATTGCAGCCTCTGTCTGTCAGTGATGGATGGGAGACTCCTTCCCCCGTTGGGCAACGGGATGCAGCACTGGATGGAGAATCAGGCTGACGGGAGAGGGAGCCGACAGCAGGTTGCGTTTGTAAATGATGGGAGAAGGTGGTGACAAAGAGCAGCCCAGGTGCTTCTAGCAGGACTGAGGTCCCTCTCGAGTGCCTGGCTACAGTACCTCCCTCCCATGCCTGGGGACACAAGGCTGAGTAGTTTAGGGGTCAGGAAAAGACTTTTTCCAGGGCACGCTCCAGATATAAAGAAAGGTGCATTAGCTGGATCAGATCAATAATCATGCAGCATACATTCAAGGAGGTGCCATGTCCTTCAACCAGATCTACTAGACCCTGCCAGCTCCCCTTCTGCTCTGCACTGAATCATAGAATCGTTTAGGTTGGAAAGGGCCTTTAAGATCATCGAGTCCAACCGTAAACCTAGCATGGCCAAGTCCACCACTAAACCATGTCCCTACTACCGCGTCTACACCACGCCTACAGTGAAGCATCACTGAGATGTCGTGGCTATGTAAGGAACCAGCACCTCACAGTCCGGGCTGATCCAAAGTATTCACTTGAGTTAAGCACTAGGACAGACACGCTGGTCCATCCTACATACCAGTCTCTGGATCTGGCAGGAGCTTGGGTCTCTCTTGCTCCCAGTGCTTGGAGCACACAGCTACAGAGACGCCATTCAAGTCCCCATCAGTGAGCTGCTTCAGTCCTCATCCTGCGCCCTGGGCCCTGATGCACCGAGAGCTAAAACCCAACATCCCTACAGCTTTGGGACCAGCTCCTGGGTGTGTGCTGTGGAAGGGAGCGCAGGACCACCTCGCCTCACCACCCCACACAGGTATACTCACCCGCACAATATAGACTCGGACCAGCACATTGATGGGGTCGTTGCTGGGGATTCCCTGGAACATGCCGAAGTTGGGGTCGTATCCTGCCTCCTTGGTGATATCATCAGGGAGCGGCACTTTGTAGACACACATGGAGCCCTGGTACGAGGGAGCGCAGAGCCCGATGAGAGTCCTGCTGCCCAGGGGCTCAGGGTAAGCAGATCCATCCCAAACCACCCTTCCTGAGGACCCTGTCAGTGTCCTCGTTTCTGGCCACATGCTGGAGCAGACGGGCCAGAGCTGAAAAATGCCTCCACCGCACAAGCACCTCATCAGGGCTTGCAACCAAGAGCAGAGGAATTGGACAAAGGGAAGGAGGCTTGTGGAGGAATCAGGTTAGCAAGGTGCTCATGGACAGGGATTTCCAAGAGTAAGACTGACAGGAGGACAAAAGTAATGGGAATGAAAGCAATGACAAGGGATGGGCTGGAAAATCTGGGAACTACCACATGAAACACTGCTGATTTCTATGCTCCCCAAGCATCTGATCCTAGCTAAGGGGGGGAACCACCTGCTCCTCTCCTCTGCTAAGCAAACAAAGGGCAAAACTGGCATCAACAGGCTTCATCTGGCCAGGATCACACCCCCAAAAAGGTTCTTGTTCAGGAATCTTATAGCTGACAGATGTGCTCCTGCATCGCCTGGGGACTGGCAATGGTGCAACATGGCTGTGAGCCCAGGTGACTGCTATCGGTGAAAAATGGTTCACAGAGATAACCCAGGGCACGACTTATTTCCACGGTGGGCAAGAAAAAGGAGCTGCTTTTCTCTTGGCCTTCCATAAGAATCATCAAGGATCTGTTTGCCTGCAGATCACCGCCTTTGTGGATGCACTCCAATTTCTGGGGGTATCCTTGGAGGCTCTCCCTCCCTGCAAGGCGCCTGCACCTGGGTCAATTTAAATTGGTTTCTGTCGCATCCACCCCCTTCCTGCTAAACCAGCTTCAGCAGAGAAACCTCTCGGCAAGGACTGCCCCTGCCCTGGCCCGACTCAACTCACTTTGAACCTCCCCACTATTCGCTCCTCTTCTGTTGCATTGTCATCGTTGTCCCCGATCTTCCCACGGAGCAGGTTGAAGGTGTGCAGCCAGTCCTCAAAGTTATCAAACTCTGTTTCCAGCTCTTTATTGAAGACCTGAGATGACAAAAAGTTAAAGGAGGGGAATTAGGTATAAAACAAAAAAAGAGAGAGAAAAAAAAAAGGTGAGGAAAAGATATGGTGACTACTCGAGTCAACTCAGAGGGAACATGGGCACCCCAGCTCCCAGTGCCCAGTTCTCTAGGATGGGAAAGGATCTCCAGGGTCATTGGGTTGGACCTTGATGCCACAAACACCTCCCCGAACCCATTATGTACAAGAGGGAAGCTCAGCTGAACGGGCGAGGTGGCTGTCCCCTCCCTGGGCAAGACCCAGGTCCAACCCCCCTCTGAACCCCAGCACCACAGACTGCATCAGTCCTAACTCACACCACGGGCCAGTGCCTTGAACCAGAGCCCATCCCTGCCCTGAGTCCTGCCTGGGCCAGCCATGGCCAGGCTGGAGAACTCCCCCTTCCAGCCAGGGCACATCCAAGCTGCCCCAAGGATGATCCTACCCCAGGGCCACCCCTTTTCTGTAAAGCTTGTTACCTCTGACTCCTTCAAACTACGGAGAGAAGCTGGCTGTCCCAAGGCACACCTCACCTTGGGTTAGACACCCCTCAGCTAGGCAAGGTGCCTCCTGCAGGGTTGATCCATCCTGCTCCCATCTCCAGATGGCTGGGGCTGCCATCCTGCCAGCCTTCCAGCCTGCCTCTGCGCAGGCAGGGTCTCCTCCTCCTCCTCCTCCTCCCCTGCCGACACACGCACCTTCAGTTCGTCAATCTTCTGCTTGTTCTTCTTCTCGGGAAGCTCAGGGGCTGACTGTTGCTTCTTTTTCTTATCGTCTTTGGGTGCCTTGGACTTCTCCTTGTTCTTTGCCTGACCCTTGGAGCCTTTCATGGGAGAGTCATCAAGTTTGATTTCTGAGTCCGAGGGCAAGTGGTGGGGAGGGAGGAGATGGAAATGAGGGTGAGGAGGGGTGGAAGAGACAGGGAGGGGGGACTTGATCAAAGTCCTTCAAACAGGAGGAGCATGAAAGCTGACAGCTGCTACTGCCTGCAACTCTCATCCTGGCCTCCTCCTGTCTTTCCTTGCCTCTGGCCACTGCTGCCCAGCTCACAGCATCTCCAGGGGCCCAGAGGTCTCTGGGCAGGGAAATTCCAGAGCTGACCTGAGCAGAAGTCATTTGGAGGACTACAAAACATGGACAGAGTGCTAGGCTCTAAGCTCTAGCTTCAACAGCAGAGAGAAGACCTGATCCTGCCCACAGCATCTCCTCGTCTTCCTTCTACTGGAGACCCTTCCTGCTGGATGCAGCCTGGAGAATAAAACCCCAGCCTAGGTATGGCAGAGGGGACAGTGCTTGATGCTCAGCACCAGAGCACAGGCTGCTGCCCTTAGAGAGGTGTTGGCCATGACGAGCCGCAACGACAGGTTGTTAAGGTCTCTGTTCAGAGCAACCACCAGCCAGGGACATCGACTGCGCTGGGAACAGGCTGCCCCGAAAGGCACGTTCAAAGAAAACTTCTCCCTCCCCTCTACAATCCCCATCCCTCACTGCCTCTGCCAGCTTTCATGACTCCTGGGCAATGCCGATGGGGACAGACAAATGACAAAGACTTAATGTGGAAGAGGAAGGAATGGGAGTGCCAAGGGGAAAGGGATCCTTCCCAGAAGACAGAAGGAAAACAATGGGGGACAGAAGACACCCCCCAGCAGCCCTGCCATGACAGCAAGCCCAGGAACAAGCTGCTCAGAGTTGTTGTCTCCAAGCTCAGCAAGACCCAGCTTCATCTTGCTCGTGATACAAAGGCTAGTCTTCTAAAAGAAACCAGGCTCCATATTGTCCTCAAGGAATGGATTTTGCATTGCCCAGGCATGACAGCAACCTGCGGTCATGGGGACATGGAACATATGGAGATCATGGGGGAAAGTCCTCAGGGAAACCCCTCCAAGCCCCACTGGTGGGACTGGCAAGGGGCCTCCAGGCTGCAAATGGACCAAGTCACCCTTGACCAACATGTCCCGGCTCACCCGGATTCTTGGCCCACAACACTTGTGGTACAAAATTCATCTCACCCAACTTTAGCCATCTGCAACAGCCCACCTGAGCCACAGACCCCTGACTTCCTTCAGAAAAAAAATGCATTTAGGGCACAATTCATCCTATTGTAACATAGTATTGAAAAAAGATCAGAGAACTCGCCCTACAAGTGCGTATTTTTCTTCACTGCCTGTGCCAGAACAGCAGACAAGGAGGCCTCTACGTGCAAGTAAAAGCAGTCAGATTAGATGAAGCCCAGACCTTTTGTCTGGTTGAACCTTCCCTTGTAAAACTGGAGCAACATTCAAAGAAAAATTTTAAGCCTCCTGCAAAATGAGGATGGAAAACCTCAAGAATGCGATCTAGAAGTGTCTCTTGGTGTGCTCAACAAACTTCAAGCACACGGTCCTATAGCTAACATCTGCACGGCCAAGGCGACAGGACTTCCAATGACACACCGACTGGCGATTGCACAAACCTCTCCTCGGACAAGCACGCGGACCCCGGTCACTAGTCTGCATTACTTGCACGTGGTCTTCGTCCCAGCACGGATGGGCTGGGAGCTGCCACAATACCATGCTCTGACTTGGATCCTCCTGTTAACCCAACACAGCCCACGTCAGGCCTGGACCCACAAAAATTGATCCTGCACGGGGATGTACAACCCGCTGTCAGCATCTGGTTTGGCAGAAGAGCCGCGGCAGGCTCCGAAAGGGATGCCCAAGCACCAAAAGGGGTCCCGGTCCTACCTTTCCCTGCCGTGCTCCCTCTCTCGTTCGCAACCTCCTTACCCTCTGCAATCTCCATTTCTTCCTTCTCCTCCGCTTCTGCCGCGGCTGCTTCCTGCTGCCGGAGTTGCTGGGGGAGAAACGAAGTGAACAGGGCATGGGGGCTTGTGCCACCATCTCTGTGCTCCCTGGAAATGCCTGTAACTGAGGGTCAAGGTCCCTGTGCCCCCTGGAAGTACCTGTAACTCGGGGTCAAGGTCGCTGTGCTCCCTGGAAATACCTGTAACTGAGTGTCAAGGTCTCTGTGCTCCTTGGAAATGCCCTGTAACTCAGGGTCAAGGTCTCTGTGCCCCCTGGAAATAGCTGTAACGGAGGGTCAAGGTCCCTGTGCCCCTTGGAAATGTCCGTAACTCAGGGTCAAGGTCTCTGTGCCCCCTGGAAATAGCTGTAACGGAGGGTCAAGGTCCCTGTGCCCCTTGGAAATGCCCTCTAACTGAGGGTCAAGGTATCTCTGCTCCATGGAAATACCTGTAACGGAGGGTCAAGGTCCCTGTGCCCCCTGGAAATACCTGTAACTGAGGGTCACACCTGGCTCTTCCCATGCGAGCTGCGCGCCCTGGCAGCGCTGGATAAACCAAAGCTGCTCAGCGCAGCCTTGAGCGCTGATGCTGTCAAACACGTTGCCCTGCACACAAACCAGCCCAGCCAGAGCGCAACCCAAGGACGAGGACTCCTGCCCAGCTCTACCAGGTCAAACAAAGCGTTGCTGACACTCAGGCCAGGTTAGCGAGGAAAGCAGTGCGGCCCCAGGCCTTTGGAAGTAGCTGGAAACAGGTGAGACCTTGCCGGCAGGAAATAATGTTTTCCTCTTCCCCCCTACGTACAGCCCTCCTCTGCTCCGCACCCACCTCCTTCATAGTCTCAATCGAAGCAAAGTACTTGGACCACCAGTCCAGCATGCTCTCGTCCGGCTCCTCCTCTTCTACTTCCTCCCCTCCTCCTCCTCCTTTCTTCTTCTTTTTCTTTTTCTCCTTCTCTTCCTCAGTCTGCAGGGACAAGGGAAGCAAAGACCGAGAAGAAGAGGGATCAGATGAAAGGGAAATACCTCTTGAAGTGCAAAGGTGGTGGGTGAAGCCCCTGAGAAGGCAGAACCCTCCAGGCTGGGTGCCCTCATTAGCCCTTTCCCCCTTTTACAGCCCCAGAGATCGAGGCACGGAGCAGCAAAGCAAGATGCCCAAGGCTCCAGAGAGACGCAGTGTCAGAGTCCCAAGCCATCCCCATCCCCTTCATCCGTGCATTTCCCAGGCTACGGCACCCGAACCTTACACGGTAACAGTCCTCCCTCTGCCCGGCAAAGTGCTGCAACAAAGCTGGTATCTGGTCATGGTGGGAATAACCAGCGTCTCTCCCAGAGGGTGCTGCCTGCCCTGCTCCCCTGGGACAGCCAGGCTGGGAAGCGCTGGCCCAGAAGAGTTTCCCAGTCTGCAAAGACCAGGTCACTGCCACAGCCATTGACGAGACAACGCTGCGCTGTCTCTGCCTTGGGACGAAGTGGTGCTGGTCCCCACCTATCTTGGGGTCGGTGGGGATGCGTGGTCCTTTGAAAGCCGCACAGAAGGGTTGGAGAGGGAGCGGAGGGCTGGGAGCAGGGATGCAGAGCAGAGCCATCACTTACCACATCCACCTTCACCACTGCGTCCGAGTTCTGCCGGCCGGGGTGGAAGGGAACAGGGAGAGGGAGAGCGGGTTAGCAGCGCAGCCTCAGCCCAGCACACACACACGCATGCAGCCGAAGTCACAGACAGCTCCCCAGGGACGGAGGAACCAAACACCTTGAAGGAAGAGCCCTGGCTGGGAAAGCTCTGCATAGAGGGGAAACGTCTGCCGTGACACCAAACCCATCTCCGCGTGGGAGACGGCTCTCTTGCCCTCTGCTAAGGGACACCACCTGTCCCTGACAGCGAGGGATTGGGTCTGGAAAGACACCTTAGCCTTCAGCGTGGGTAACACCTTTCTGCTCTCTTGGAGCTTTTCTCGTCTATCTAGGAAGGTCTGCAAGCTACTGTGGTGGATTTCAAGAAGCACACGGGTGCTGGGGGGTTCCAGACCCATCCATGCACACACCCCCTGTAGCTCCTCTCGCATGAAGCCGTGCAAGCAGACGTACGTGGTACGGCGTCTTGTGCACGTACCAGGAGCTCGACGTACAGGTGCATATGTGAATGCCCCAGGGACCGCGTGGGGATGCGTGTACGTGTCTGTGTCTGTACGTGTCTGCTTGCGAGGCTTTGTACGTGCCACAGCCTTCCTGGAAATGCACACACGTGAGGTGCCGTGCACATCTGGAGCCCACAACACGCCTGCAGGCACACGCATGCACATCTGCTGCTTTTTTTGGGGGGGTTCGCATGTTGCTGCAAAGGGTCTTCTGCAAAAAGAAATCTGTCTCTTTTTGTGGAGGAAGCTCTGGAGCAGAAGGGTCTCAGGAGGAGCTGAAATTCCTGGGCAAGAAAATGGGCACAGGCACATTCAGTGTGCGAACAAAGCCTGATGCCTCTGGGACACGTCGCCTGCCCAATGCATACAGTGCCAAATTTTCAGGGCGTGCACAGTAGGGTCTGAAGAGTTTTGGCTGCCCCAGACTGACCCTGTGCCAGCTCTATGCCGTGCACATCTGCATTGAGCCACCTGAACATCTCAAAACTGCTGCAAAAAGGAAAAGGCACCAGGGAAATCTGCGTGACCCCGGCTGCTTGCCCCTTTGACAGGGCAGGATCGCGGCAGCTGTGCCGATGGGGAATTGAGGATGGGTCGCTTGTGTCTGCCTTGGGCACGGACAGGGTCCTGCTCACGGGTGCTCGTTCCCACCTCACCGTTTTTGAAGGAAAACGTAAAGTTGCGTACCTTGCATAGCCCAGGACAGGCCTTTTCTGGGCAGTGAGCACCAGCCAATTTCAGCCAGGACAGAAAGAGGCCAATTTGTAGGACTGACGATGACCCAAGGCCCTTCATTCCAGGCATCAGCCCAACC